AGCACCCTGGAGCCTTGAGGTTCACATCCTCAAAGCCGTGTGCAAGCATTGCTCTCTCTACTATAAATAAGGGAAATCTTGATAAATAGATATGCATAAAATCCAGTTCAGAAAACAAGCCTTCTCACTTTTCAATGTCTCCATTTCTTTTGCTTGTTCTCGTCTCATTGTCATGGGCAATTGCAGCGAATGCGCATGAGAATGATTTTCTTCATTGCCTTTCTTCTTTTCATTCCAAAGACACATCTCTCGTCTTTAAAGTCATCTACACGCTAAATAATTTTTCATATTCATCTGTTTTGGAGTCTTCTATTCAAAATTTTAAGTTCTCTGAACTAACTATCCCTAAACCTTTGATCATTATAACACCAAAGCATACTTCCCACATTCAAGCATCAATTCATTGTTCTCTTATATCTCTCACGTTCTATTTATTATCGTTGATTTGATTAACTTTCGATCAGTTGATACTGATAAAAAGAACAAAGTTGCATGGATTCAATCTGATGCAATTTTCGATTAGCAGGACCTTGGAGAAAAACGCAACTAAACTTGTTCACCGTTGGCAATACGTTGCGCACAAACTTCCTGTTGATATATTCTCTGCTGTTACAATGAGAAGGGTAAATTCTAGTAAACGTGGCAAAAGAACAATTCTGGCTTCCTTTAGTTCCTTTTTTCTTGGTGGCATTGATGAGCTCATTCCATTGATGCAAGAGAGATTTCCTGAGCTTGGGTTAGTGAAGGAAGATTGCACTGAAATGAGTTGGATCGAATCTATCCTCTACTTTGGCCAAATTCAAAATAAATCGTTGGATATTTTACTAGACAGGAGTTACCAGACTACTCTTAATGGTCCATCTTCAAAACAAAATCTGATTATGTGAAAAAACCTATTCCTGAGACTGCATTCGAAGAGATATGGTCTAAACTTTATGAAGAAGATGCAGAATCTGCTGTTATAGGTTTTATTGCTTATGGGGGAAAGATGGATGAGATTACAGAGTCCGCAACTCCATTTCCACACAGAGCTGGCAACTTAGACAAAATTGCATACACTGTGGGCTGGCAACAAGAAGACAATATAAAATCAGAAAGGTACATAAGTTGGATCAGAAAACTTTACAGTTTCATGAGCTCCTTTGTCTCTAAATCTTCGCAAGAGGCATATATTAATTACAGAAATAATGACATCGTGATTAACAACAAAGGCAACACAAGCTATGTTCAAGCACGTATTTGGGGTCGTAAATATTTTAAAAATAATTTAAATAAATTAATACAAATTAAAACAATGATTGATCTTAAAAATTTTTTTAAACATGAACAAAGCATTCCTCCTCTTTTATATTGACAAAAGAAAAGAGGTAATTATTGTAATCCTTGGAGTAGGGAATAAATAATAAAAAAGATTTGGATTTGAGTGCCTTGATACTGTGAGTTGGATGCCTAGTAGTCAATTTTACATTTTCCTCATTACCTTGACTTTTGTAATTAGATCTATTATTATTATACACCTTACTATTGTGTGACATGAAAGATATGGCCTTTTCTTAAAAAGAAAGAAATAGGGTGAGAGGTAGTCTTCTCTTACAAACCAAAAGAAGAAGCAAATTTCGTTTCTTTTTTAAACACTGTTTGTTGGCTTCCTGCAACAAGGTGCCATTCCAATTCCTGTCCCTTTTGGAATAAGCCAGTGTAAATACAACAATTTAACTAGAGTCCAAATTAATGGCAGATCATAGGAAATGTAGAGATATAAACCTCTCAAAGAGTTAGCCAGCTACTACTTACTATCAGCAAATCCCATGTTCCTTGAGCAATGGCTTTCGCAGACCATCCGCTGTTACATTTGCAGTTACGGAAGTGTGATGAATTTGCCATTTTTTAAACTGGATTCTAAGACTCTATAGGCAGAATAATTTTCAACTGGATTTTAAGGCTCTATATGCAGAATAATTTTCCTTAGTGTCCACGAAGACAATTGAGGGCTTAAAATCCAATTGACCACATTTGAGAAATGGCTTTTCACCATTAGGCAATGTGAATATGCCCGTTTAAAAGTGACAAATATAACAAAAACTTCTCTAATTGCAAGTAATTTAGACATGTTCAAATCCCAAAACCAACAGATTTTGAAAACATGATTTTAATGACACCTATCTCGTCATGTAACATCCCACCAATACCCACATAACCCAGGCTCCCTCTCATTGCGCCATCAATACTGAATTTGAGTAATCTACACAGTTCTTTTCCATTCAACCCATGCCTTTTTCAGTCTAGACTTATTTTCATTTGGCCATCTATCTTTAACCTACCAAATAATTCTCAAATTTATGACATCAAACAATTGAAAACTATCCCAAGACTTGTCATTGAAAATCATCTCATTCCAAAAAATTAAGTCCGAATTTTAAGATGGTAACGACTAATGAAGTAAAAGAAATTGTGGCATCCAATAAAAACATCATTTCATGGTGTAAGAAAGCTTTGGTTAATTGTGTTACTATGAAGCTTCACCCCTTATGCCATTCTGGAATCCAACAAAGTGTAATCTTTTCAATGGTACTTTAGGCCAAATTGTTGAAACATGAATTCTTCAATGAAGAAATAATTAATTTGGTTTTTCCGGATTATGCGGACCTGATCAATTGAAAACGTTACACAAAAATTCGAAAAATGCTGCGGGCTATGGCAAATAGTGGAGTTGAAAGAAGTCCACGACATATTCAAATTGGCTATAGTTCCCTGCCCAACACGGCGTGCTTAGCTTCAACACGGACGCGTCTGCACAAAGCCAAGTTAGGTTCCTGCAGGGGCAATGGATCGATTGGTTATTGCAGAAAAGCACCGGAGCCAGCTAAAGTATAAAAAGGTTTATTAGAACTAAAAATAAATGCATGCAATTAATTACTAGCTACTACGGGGTAATGGTGATATTAATAAGCATACTTAAATTGATGGGATCATTTCAACGAGAAAAGAATTTCACCAAGTAAATATTTAAATAATCTATTTTTAAAGTTAGTAATAAAAAATTACCACTATTACTTGAATTATTAATTTGGTTTGACTATTACATTTATTAGTGCAATTATAATTTTATAATTTAAAGCGCTTAAAAGATTAAGGCTGAAATTGATTACATTTGTGAGCATAGTTTTGGAATTTGATGGTGTTAACAAAATTAAAATTGATGCAAACAGATTATTATAAAAGTACATATTGTGAACGGTGGTAAATGATTTCAGACTTTGTTTTAAAAGAATTATTATCAATGGATGGCTCCGAAGGTCTGACTGTAAAATTACAATCATAATTTATTTATATGTTTGAATTAAGCTTGAAATTAGCTTTTTCATTATTGTAAAAAAAAAATTCTACAAAAATGATTTTTTCTCAAAAAATCTTAAGTAAAAATATACGTTACTTTATCGAATTAATTTCAGTAATATTTTCAACTTTTAATTATTATAAAATGGTTAATTTTTTCTTCTCGCATTAACATCCAAATTGGGCCGCTAGTAATTACTACATATTGAATTTTATTTTGCCAAATATATAAAGGAAATCAGCATATGAAAAGTCTAAGAGTTTTATATAATTCCCCGATCGCTTCAAACTTTTACATGAAAGTATGTTTGATCGACTTCTCACATCACCACGTGGCGGGTTGAAAATTTTCTAGTCCTCTAGACACAAACAGGACTTCCCAGTTTCATCCGACTGCTCTCCATTCTTATGGGGACTTTGGCTTAGTCTTGTGGTCAGAAATTTCTCCTTTCACATATCTAATTTCCTTCTTTCCAAGCAATCATCTAGATTCGTTAGCAAAAGATAAAAAAAAATAAAAAAAATAAAGGAATCATCTTAATTTTATAGCCATTTACACACTTACTGTTGAAACATCAATTTTTCATGTTTCTATTCAAGAATCAACATCAGAAGGCTCCTTTGTTTTTGGCCAGTCATGTGAAGGCATGTTTAGTGCCTGAAAAAATATGACAGCTTGTTATTGTGGAATAACTTGTTTGTCCAGGACGGTAGCGGAGCTGGTCAATATATACGGTGTTTGAAAAATGAGGGAGAGCTCTGGCAAGCGTATGGAAATTTACACTTCGGCTTCCGCAACAGATCCAGATTATTCAATGATCATCAAAAATTTTGTTCACATCCACTTCGGAAGCTTCTGAAGTTTCAGCAACGAAACAGTTGCATAGCAGCTGCATTGTTATGATTAACGACAGATTTTGATTCTTGGCGTGAAACTACTCAAGGCATTACACACTTAAAAATGCGCACACTAAACAAATGGAGCGGAAAGAACATGAATTTTACACTTAGAGGTTTCAGAATCTTTGCTTTTCTACCATTTTTTTTTATTTCTGCCAAGCACAAACGCCTTTCATCTTCCCACTTTTGTTTCAGCAAACCCAAGTATTATGATCTGAACAGTCCAGCATAAAATAAATGAGAAATCAACTACGTATTTAAGACGTTCAAAGATTTGTTATTTTCCATCTATAGTTTGTCAATTATAAAACCGGAGTATAAACAGTTACCCTCTCGGAAAGCTCAAGAGGAAATCATAAATAATTTTATTAATATATTATAATATGATGGAATGAAAGGACCAATGCTAATTAATCAAAGATAAAGACCCATTGGAATGACACCGGTACCGGTCAAGAGGAACTAACAAGCAAGAGACAAGTTGAATCCAAATGAAGCTAGCAATTAGAGATGTTCTTAGGAAATTTGGGAGTGAAATAGATGACGTAGACCAACATGTAATATATATTGACTACAACATCTCGCGTTTAGAATCAAACTTAGACCGCGCCAAGATGAAACTTCAATTTGCCTTTGAAAAAATAAAAGACGAAGAAACTTCAACTCTATTCACATGGCGGCTCAAAGCATTACGTACGTTCCGTCGTATAATCCTATAAATAAGGGGAGCTTTTGATAAACTTAACACAAAATCATAAGTTTCAAGCATACACCAACTCATAGCACAAAATCAGTTTCCAAAATGAAGTCTCTTCTTTACTCTATGTCTACATTAGTTTTTGTTGTTCTCTTCTCATTGCCATGGGCAACTTCAGCTGATACGCATGAGAATTTTCTTCAGTGCCTTTCTTCACGTCATTCTGAAGACACATCTTCCATTTCTAAAGTTATTTACACAGAAAGCAATTCATCTTATTCCTCTGTTTTGGAGTCTACAATTCATAATAGTAGATTCTCAACCCCAACTACACCTAAACCTTTGGTTATTGTAACACCATTGCATACTTCTCATATTCAAGCAGCAATTTATTGTTCAAGAAAATATGGGTTCCAAATTAGAATTCGTAGTGGTGGTCATGATTTCGAAGGTCTTTCTTATGTTTCTGAAGTTCCATATATCATTGTTGATTTGGTTAACTTTCGATCAATTGATGTGGATGTAGAAAATAAAGTGGCATGGGTTCAATCAGGTGCAATTACCGGAGAATTGCATTACAGAATTGCCGAAAGGAGCAGAAGTCTTGCCTTTCCAGGTGCTCTCGGCCACACTGTGGGAATTGGAGGATATTGTAGTGGAGGAGGTTACGGCTTACTGTTTCGGAAATACGGTCTTGCAGCAGATAATATAATTGATGCACAATTTGTTGATGTTAATGGGAGAGTTCTTGACAGAAAATCGATGGGAGAAGATTTGTTTTGGGCCATTCGAGGAGGTGGAGGGGGTAGCTTCGGTATTGTCCTTGCATGGAAAGTAAAGTTGGTTCCTGTTCCAACCACTGTGACTGTATTCTCAGTCAGCAAGACCTTGGAACAAAATGCGACCCAGCTTCTTCATCGTTGGCAATACGTTGCACCCAAGCTTCCGTATGATATATACTCTGTCGTTACAGTAGTGAGGGTGAATTCGAGTCAACAGGGGAAGCAGACGATTTTAGCTTCCTTTAATTCCTTGTTTCTTGGTGGAGTAAATGAGCTTATCCCATTGATGCAAGAGAGATTTCCTGAGCTTGGACTTGTTGAAGAAGACTGCACCGAAATGAGTTGGATTGAGTCTCTTCTCTATCTTGGCCAACTTCCAAATGAAACCATAGATATTTTACTTGACAGGAGTTACAGGAGTCCTCTTCTTAGTACTTCCTTCAAATCAAAATCTGATTATGTGAAAAAACCTATTCCTGAAATTGCTTTCAAGGGGATATGGTCCCAACTTTTCGAGGAAGAAGCACAAGATGCTAGTTTAAGTTTTATTGCTTATGGAGGCAAAATGGATGAATTTCCAGAGACTGCGACACCATTCCCGCATAGAGCTGGCAACTTGTACAAAATCGTATATAACGTTGGCTGGCAAGAAGAAGACAACGTAAATTCTCAAAGGTATATAAGCTGGATAAGGAAACTTTACAGGTACACGAGCTCCTTTGTTTCGAAATCTCCACGAGAAGCGTATGTTAATTATAGAGATCTTGACATCGGAATGAATAACAAAGGTAACACAAGTTATGCACAAGCAAGAGTTTGGGGTCGTAAATATTTTAAGAATAACTTTGACAGGTTAGTATCTGTTAAGACAATGATTGATCCAGAGAACTTCTTCAGATATGAACAAAGTATCCCTCCTTCATTTTTTTAATTGCAGAAGATCACGTCATGAGTGGAATATATAGCCTGATAAATTATGTACCATTAATACACTTTGCTTTATAATTATAAGTGTTATTTGGAATAAAATTTTAGCCTTTGTTTCTCCAAATTTCTATTCAATAAAAGGAGACCTTTTATATTATTTTGCTGTATAATATCTTCTCATTTGGAATTAATTACCCCTTAAGACCTTAACCTCAACAGCTGTTTGACCACACCGATTAGGTTGAAAGACCAAATTCCCTAAAGGAACATTAGAGCAACCTTAAAGGGTTTTCCGCTCTGTTTTTTTACTTCTTTTTTTTTTGAAAAATTCATGTATTATTCACAAATAAAATGGGGAAGACACAATCCCATATGGTAAAAACCACCAGAATACAGATACGATCCCAACACACCAAGCAGGGGAAAAAACGCAAACAAGACAACCAAAAACTCAAACACAACTCCAGCTCTCTGCTTTTAATTGGCTAAGTAATTTTAAGTGAATCTTGAAATCTTTTCTTGATAATAAGGAAAGCAACCAGCCCACAACCAAACCAAGTTTCCTTATTATGATTGGAAACGGCATGTATGGGCCTCGCTAGCTAGTAAATGAATCCAAATCCCGTATATCTCATCTCTTTCTTTATTTACTTGTGCAATGCTATTTTATCCTACTTTTGTTAGATTTCTTCTTTAAGTGCAAAGCCCTAGTTCAGTTTCCTTTTACATTAATCCATTATGAATATATGGCTACCAACATCCCTAGGCAAAATTCCTGGTAATCTCAATCGTCTCATTAACTGTCTCTGCTTTTGTTTGTTTTTCGTTTCTTCTTATTTTCTTTACATATGATTCATTGTCTTGTTTAACCAAAAAAAAAAAAATCATTGTCTTGTCTTTTTCTTTATTGGTACATATGAAAAGGTGAGCAAATTGTGAAAAAAAGTTGATCTGGTAAGTTCATTTAAAAATAACCTTTAATATAAAGTTAATTGTTTTTATCAAACTTTTATTATAATTTGATAACAATACTCTTAAAATTATTTTAGACAAATTAAATGCTCTCGATTTTTTTCTCCCGTTATTCATCTGTTATGCTTTCTATTTTCTCTTTCGTCATTTAGTTTTCTAATTTTATCACTATCACCATCTTTCTCTAACTACCTCTTGTCATTTTGTTATATCGTTGTCGATTTACATATCAAAGAATATGAGATGATAGGTAAGAATATGTTATTAAGTTTATTGATTTAGATTCACAAAACCCTCTCTTTATGTATCTCGCGCCATCATTGATCTACAAACCAAAAAACATGACTTGGTGAGTAACAATATGTTATTGGGTTTATTAATATTGAGTTTTTCAATTATTCAAATTTGGAAGAATATGCCTTGACGTGCAACAAAGTGATTCAAGTTTTGGCATGTAATATTAAGCTTTGACATGTAACATCTGGTGTTGAAACCTTAACTTTGACATGTAACATTTGGTATTGAAATTTTAACCTTAGCATGTAACATTGTCTGTTAAAGCATGTAATATTTGCTTATAATGTCATTTTGTTTTACTTTTTTATTATTTTTAATTTGTTATTGAAGTTTTAGTGTGTAACAGTTTTTGTTGAAGTATGTGATATGTGCTTATAATGCCATTTTGTTTTGCTTTTCTATTATTTTTAACTATTATAGGCACATCTACATACTAGTAATTTTTGATATTTTGTAGTTATATATTTCTAAAAAAATCTAAATGAATGTGAGAGAAAGGTTTTTCCTCCAAAGTTGTTAATACTTACTCTGCTCATCTTCTTCTTTTTCTAGAAAGTTTTCAGAGTTCTTATTTTTTTGTAAAATTTTCTTCAAAAATTACCAATGGGTTTACATTCACCAAAATCCAAAAGTTGATGATTGAACTTATAAGTAACAAAAAATCTGTAAATTAGAACACTGTCTAGAGTTGTTATATGAATATGACATGAAATGTAACAATATGTTTTTGTATATATAACAACAATTTTTAAAAAAAAATAACGCGAAACAAAGTTCTTTTGAACATAATATGTAACAATAACATTTTTAAATATGGCATGTGACTTGCTTCTTTATATTTCACTACAACATAACTCTTGGAGTTAAAGCCTATAGCAACTTTTTATTTTTCAATTGTAACAATATTTTTTTAACATGGCTTATAATAATAATTAATATTTTTTAATAATTTGATCTCTATCTTTGCATTTCGCTAAGATTTTTTTAAACATGTAACCCTAAACTCTTAGAGTTAAATACCATAGAGAGTAAGTTTAAAATATAAAATAAAAAATAAATTTGACCTGGAAAGAAAGGTATATTGAAAAATTATTCAACGTCAATGTTACAATTGCGATGAAATGATTGGAATGAAATAGATTTGGAAAAAAAATATTATCTTTCTTGTAATCATAAAAAGAAACATGGCATGTAAAATTTTTTTTCAATAGCTGCATTTGAATATAAAGATTAAAGGTAATTTTGTCAAAAAAATCTTTATTCTTGACTAAAAATAGTTGCAATTAAAAAAAATTATTTTTGAAAACACTTTATCATTGAAAGCTTAAAAATCGTTCCTGAAAAGATTCGATAGAAATTTGAACCTTTGTTCTTGTCTTAAGAAGAGCAACAAAGCCTTGATTGTTTCAATGAACATTTAATTGGATTTTAGTAATCATCAATTTAATTTGTTTGTTTGGTTGAAAATCTAGCAATTATCCAAATTTTCTTTCGCTAAGCCAATTATAGATTTTATTTTTTTTAAAAAAAGAAAGTACAGCAAAATCACTCTTAAGAATAAGAGACATTGTCCAATAAAAGGAAAAACGCTAAAACAAAATCAAAATACATCAAAATAATAATAACTTTTTCAAAACATCCGAATATTTAATTCATGAATTGGTGCATGATCTTTCGAGTAAAATTTGAATTCTTTTCTTCAAATATATATATATATATATATAACACTAGGCAGAAAGCAATTTTAATCAATCCACTCCTAATCTTTAGAGTAATCATTCTTATCCCATGCATCTACTTTATCTACTTCCCAAACTCCTTAAAAGAAACTTGAACCAAAAAAAAAAAGGAAAAACAGATCTTCTTAAGCTTCTTTAACGCAAATTCTAGAAAAAGAAAATGCCGTCATTCAGCAAAAAAAAAAAAAAAAAACCAAGAAATCTGTCAACTCTATATCTCTTAGAACCACTGCCATACCAGACAAAGGAAGATCTACGTACTCACACTATCCAATGAAATTTTTAAACTCCGAAACACCCATACCATCCAATAAAAACCAGATTAGGATTGTTCCTAATGGAGATTAATCAAAGCAAGAAATTTAACATGATCTGAAAACTGGATATGCTTTTTAATAAATTTCAGTTGTGGCCTCAATCTATCCAAGGATTTGTAAGCTACGCATTGTCGGTTACAGCATTCCCATTTGGACTATTAACTTAAATTTTGTATATATGATAATGTAATGTATTTATGGTAGATCCAGTTGGATCAATACTGAATGAGTTCATTGTACCTGCTATACTGGTTTTGTTGATGGATCTTTTATTTTTGTGATTGGCGTTTTTCCTTCTGATTGCATTTCCTCTTCAATGTTTACGCTAGGAAGGATTTTTACAAATATAGGGAAAGTTTTAAATTTTAATATTTTCTTGCTTTAGCAGAAGTCAAGAATCCTCAGAGATCTGGCTGCTCTTTTTGAATCGACAACTGAGTGTAAGATGCAGGCAATTACATAAAAAAAAGAAGCCAACTTTATAAGGCAGATGAAAGACCAGATGCGAATTCAAGTTCTGTTCTTGGGGCTATAGAATGAAGGAACATGATTGGAGCTGCTGATCATGGAGTAGAAAATATTGCAAAAGCTGATGAAATACCTGGACGCCGAGCAATGAAAGAGTTATAGAGGGGCGCCTGGCAGTGAAAATGAAAGGAATTACTTTAGCTAAATGCAGGCAAGGGATGGAATGGACGATTCTATGAGGAAGTCGGAACACGGTTAAACAACATAGATAAAAGAATTACTAAGTTCAAAAAAAGTAGGATTAGATTCAATGGCGACAGGAGGAGATTTCAAAGTAGAAAATGACCAGCAGAACGATCCCCAAGGAGGCGAAGAAGAGCTTGAAATCAATACTCACAAGGGACATCATGTAGATTGCTTTGGTGAAACCTATAAAGGTGTAGATTCAGTTGCTGAAAAATGAAGAATGTTCCTTCTTAGTTCACTTTATGGGCCAAAATGCTTGTCTAGGTCATTGTACAATTCTTTATATTTATATTTATATATATATTAAAAATAAAATAATTTATTACATCATTTTAGGCCAAACAACTCTTATAACATCAGCTAGTAAATATGTAAAGAAAGGTAATTGTAGAAATGGCATTTTATCACTTCTCTTTCTCTTTATTGCATTTGTTTTGTTTTTATTTTTATTTTATTCTTTTATTCTTTTCTACCTAAATAATTTCAGTCCTTTAAGCTCGAGTTATTTAAGGCCTGTTTTGTCTCTTATTTGGACCTAAGTTAGATTAACCCTGGTTTTCAAACTGGGTTTTGGATCCAATTCAAGTTTGCCTTTTTTAAATTTTCAGTTTATTTTGTTAAAATTTTAAAGTGAAAAACATAAACAGCCCATGACAGCTGCATTTAGTACATTTTTTTTTGTGAAAAGTGAATATTATTAATCATACAATCGATATGTTATTATTAGTCTCAAGCTATAGCTGCAAGAGTATTTAGCAATGATCTGATCTTCATTCATGATTTTTGATCAAATTCTTAATCCGCCAAATTTATGGTAAGGAAGCAAAAGAAATCATGGTGCAATTAAAATATCTTTCATGGATTTACTATACCACCATATCTAGAGAAAACAAAGAAGAAACAATCACATATATTGTACTATCAAATTACAATGCTTTAGTATGTTTTTTCCAACATAAATAATGGTTTTCTTTGTTTCCCTTTTGGGTGTTAGTCTGAAAGTAGTTTTTAGACATGTGATATTTGCAACTATAATATAGGCCAAACTGTTTTCGTGGAATAAGTTGGTTTCTCTGGATGGCAGCACTGTTGGTCAATATAGTCGGCG